TTCAGACAGGGCATTCTCGCCATGATTATTTGGAGTCGTCGCTTGCCAGGTGGTAGCTCTCAGCACACTACCTGGCGTCGTTCCAATATGTGTTGTATTTCTCGTTGCTGTCCTCCTGCTCCACGTCGCACTCGTTGCTCTCGTCGTCGCACTTGTCTTCCTCCTGGCGTCGTAGAAGCTTTGCGGCGAGGGTAGGCATGGGTCGCTGGCTTATAGATATCCCGTCCTGGTGCGCCGCGTAGTGGTCGCGGGTGGAGACAAGCGCGTTGATGGCTCCTGATGGGCCCACACGTGGACCATCGCGTTCCCGTCCTCGTCGTGGCGGTCGCCGCCCATGTCCATGGGCACCTTCATGTCAAGGGGCTAGTTGTACGCGCGGTTCGGGAGTTTGGAGATGGCCCCGATGGCGAAGGCCTTTGTGATTGCCTGCCCCTCGGCGGTCATGACCCTGAGGAGGTCCAGCACCTGGAGCGCGGCGTACATAATGAAGGTGGGCTCGTCCTGCTTGTTGCTCTCCTCGTCTTCTCGTGGCCCGCGTAGCTCAGCCAGTGGCTCTCGGAGCCCTGTTCGCGGCCTTCGTAGCTCGGCTTGTTGCCCCCGTAATTCGGCTGGTGGTCCTCGTAGCTGTGTCGGGGTCTTCGGAGACTCCGCTCGTGGATTTTGTAGTTCGGCTGATGGCGCTGGTAGCTCTGCTGGAGGCCCTTGCTGCTCAGCCCATGTCCTGCGTATCTCAGCTTGTGGCCTCTGTAGCCTTGCTGGTGGCCCTCGTAGCTCAAGCTGGTTGCCCTCGTAGCTCAGGCTGAAGCTCTGCGCCTGCTGGTGGTCGTCGTAGCTCAGTTGGAGGTTCTCATTGCCGCTTGTGGCCCTCGACGCTGTGCTTGTGGTCCTCGTAGTTGAGCTGGTGGCCCTCGTAGGTCAGTTGGAAGCTCTTGTAGCTCAGAGCTTCGCCCAGGTAGCTCTGCCAGCGGCTCCCGTTGGGCAAGTTGTGGTCCTCGTAGCCCTGCGTGCGGACCTCGTAGTTCAGCCCTTGGTCCTCGTAGCTCAACTAGTTGCCCTTGCATCTCAGCTGGAGGCCCTCGTAGCTCAGCAGGTGGTATTCGTTGTCCTGCTTGTGGTTCTCGTGTCTCAGCTGGGGCCTTCGTAGCTCAGCTGGTGGCCCTCGTAGATTTGCTGGTGGCTCTGGTAGTTCAGCTGGTGGCCATGGTACCTCTTATGGTGCCTCTCGTGGCTCAGCTGGAGGTCATCGTAGTTCAGCTGGTGGCCCTCGTAGGTAAGTTGGGAGGTCTAGTAGCTCAGCAGGTGGCCCGGCTTGTGGCCCTCGAAATTCAGCCTGTAGTTCTCGTAGCTGGGCGAGTTGCCCTTGTAGCTCTGCTGATGGCTCTTGTAGCTCAGCAGGTTGCCCTGGTACCTCTCCTGGTGCCTCATGTGGCTCAGCTGGAGGTCCTCGTAGTCGTGCTTGTGGCCATCGTAGCTGTGTTTGTGGTCCTCGTAGTTCAGCGGCCCTCGCAGGTCTGTAGGAAGCTCTGGTAGCTCAGCAGGTGGCCTGGGTAGTTTTGCCAGTGGCTCTGGTAGCTCAGTTTTTGGTCCTCGTAGCCATTCTTGTGGCCCTCGTAGTTCAGCCTTTGGCCCTCGTAGCTCGGCTTGTTGCCCTTGTAGCTCTGATTTTGGCTCGTGTAGCTTAGCAGGTGGCCCTGGTACCTTTCCTAGTCTCTCGTGGCTCAGCTAGAGGCCCTCGTTGTTCAGCTGGTTGCCGTCCTAGAACTGTTGGAAGCTCTGGTAGCTCAGCAGGTTGCCCGGGTAGCTCAGCAAATGGCTCCCGTAGCTCTGGTTGTGGGCCTCGTAGCACTGCTGTTGGTCCTCATAATTCAGCATGTGGCCCTCGTAGCCCAGCTGGTTGCCTTTGTAGCTCTGCGAGCGGTTCTGGAGGACATCGTAGTTCAGCTTGTGGCCGTCTGGTGGCCCTGGTAGCTCTGCTGGTGGCTGTAGTAGCACGGAGGGCACGGTTTCTTTGTAGCCCCCGAGGTCCGAATCGGAATCGTCGGCTGCCAAGTCGTAGTGTTCCACGTGCTGGAGGCTGGGTAGTCCTGGGGGTCGAAGGGGTACAGGTCGCTATCGAAAAAGCTGCCGTAGTCATACTGGTAGTGTGCGGCGCGGCTGTGCTCGTACTCGTCGTAGGCGGCGCGGCCTTTAGCCACCAGCACCTCCACGACGACGTGCTTAGTAACCCCTTCGGGCTGCTCGGTCGTGTCGTTCCTCGTGTCGGTCTTGGTGGCGTACTTCGTGTCGTACTGGTAGTGCTCGTCTTTGGGCTGCCTGCTACGCAGCTCGTTCTCGTACGTGGGCTGCCCGTTGCGCAGTTCGTTCTCGCAGCGAGGCTGCATGTTGCGCAACTCGTGCTTGGACGCTCTCGCAAAGGCAGTCGTAGCAATGATAATGATGTCGTCGGGTCGTGGCCGTATCCTCTGCCGGACGTTGTACCCCACTTGTTTTTGGGCCTGTT